TTCTGCCTGATAGCCACCACTACCACCACCAAACCTGACTCTATTTATTTTTAAAAAAGGCTAGGTTGAAGTGAAAAGATGGATTTGTTCATTTCTAATCTTATCCAATTCTTAAGCTATACTTACAGAGTTAACAGGCTAGCTACCCAAAATGCTAACCCATTTATTCAGATTCTCAAACATTTGTCTGTGTGAAATAACCAATATCCCATTTTCCTTCAGGAAAGAGAATGTTTTATAGTAATTTTTGGCAAACTATTATCTGATTTGTGGAAACTCTGATGAAAGCCTTGGATTGCACAGAAAAGGAAAACTTCTAAAATAAAAATAATGAATTAGAGCGGACCACTTCTGTAATACCAAAAATCGTATGCAAAATGAGAATAATGAGAAAAAGTTTGTAAAAGAAGCTCTATCCACATACCCATTTCTTGGTAAAGAACAAGTCTGTATACAATTAGCAATTGTATATTGAACCTATGCAAAAATAATCTCCCAGGGGATTACTGTTACACATCCTTAGTTCTATAGACTGTATTCTATTGCTGTTTTTTTTTTTTTTTTGTCTTTTTCATTATTCATATTATTGTATATGACTCACAGGTAGGCTGAGAATGCAGTATTTCTTGGTGAGAGGAAGCTGTTCATAGTGCTTTAGGGTGTAGGATAGAGACAAAGTTTGCAATTTCCTTATATAGAGAAAGATACGCAAATATTTAAAAAGGTAATATTAGAGCTTCCTGATTCTGAGTTTAAAAAAAATTTGGTAAAGGAATATTCATAGGTTCCTCCTGGTCTTGAAAAAAAATATTATTAACTCCTGTTTATAACTGATGATAATTGTTTATAGAGCTGAATAAGCATTGATTCTGGTTTTATTCCATTTTCCTTTCCTCCCTAAAGAAGAAGGATGATAAACAATAAACTTACCCAGTACCTGTTTTATGATGAGTTTAAAGTAGAATGTTGGGTAAAATATTGAACTACACTGGTACATAACTTTAAGGAGTATAATATAAATATATAGTTTATGGTTTTCAGAAATAAACGTTGACTTGGAATATCAAAATGAGTTAAAATGTTATGTTCCGTAGCCCTTAGCATAGATCTTCATGGCAGCCTAAAGCTCCTCAAAGATGGCTATCATTTGAAAGCAGAAATATAAGTGTGATAAATAGTTATATTCATTTCACATGCAAAGAAAAAAATCCTAAGAATTTACAATTAAAAACATGAAAGATAAACATCACTTTAAAAATCTAATAACCCAAACTTTGTTATCACAGTAAATCTTAGTAGGACAGAAGCTGTTTTCTGCCTTTTAACACTGATGATCTATATTGTAAAATGATTCACATATCTTAATGTGTCTTCTGTCTCAAAGAAATTATATCAGTTTAATTAGGTAAGTTTTGTGACAAACCTAAGCTTGAAATTAATACAAACGATTACACAATTTTCACATTCCTGAAGGGTTCTTTGGTGTCTGCATATTGTGTTGTATCAGTCAAAATGTATTTCTTGTGACCACACAAAAATGCAAGGTGGCTCTGGCTTCAGAATGAGCACCTTTACAAATTTATTTGAACTAAATTATGTAATTTATGCAAGTACTATCTCTGTGGTTTTTTATTTTGTTATCTTTACAAGTGAGAAGCAGATAAGTGCTGCTAATATTTTTTTCAGTAAAGCAACTGTTGTTTTTAAGTTTGAGTCGTTTGAAGATGGGTAGGTCTGTTTGCAAATTGGTAGTTTCTATATATAGCCTCATGTATATTTTTGTGTTAGGATTATGACAAGAATATTATGAAATTTTAATATATTTTTAGGTTATACTTTTCTTAATAAATTTAGTTCCTAATTTTGTGTAATGAGGACAGACAATAGCCCAGTAATTCAAAGAGTAGTCAAAGATGACTGTAGAGAGGATTATATAAAACAGGATATTTAGTCTTTCCTATAAACTGAGTACAGTTGACCCTTGAACAAGTCAGGTTTGCATTGTGTGGGTCCGTATATCAGATTATTTTCAATAAATACAGTACAGTACTGGTAAGGTATTTTCTTCATGATGTTCATACTATTTTCTTTAGCTTATTCGAAGAGTAAGTATATAATAGGGGGCACCTGGGTGTCTCAGTTGGGTATCCATCTGACTCTTGGTTTCAGCTCAGGTCATGATCTTGGGCTTGTGAGAGGGAGACTGCTTAAGATTCTCTCCCTCTTCCTCTGCCTGTCACCTCTCCCCCCTTAAAAAGATTTTTTTTCTTTTTTTTTTTTATTTGAGAGAAAGAGAGTGAAACAGGCAGGGGCAGAGGGAGAAGGAGAGAGAGAGAGGGAGAATCTCAAGCCGACTGCATTGATTGCAGAGCCCAACACGGGAGAGAGTGCGATCTCACAACCCTGAGATCATGACCTGAGCTGAAATCAGGAGTTAGATGCTTAACCAACTGAGCCACCCGGGCACCGCCACCCTCTTTTTTAGTATAGTCTTTATCTGGTTTTGGTATCAGGGTAATGCTGGCCTCATAGAATGACTTTGGAAGTTTTCCTTTCTTTTCTATTTTTTGGAATAGTTTGAGAAGAATGGGTATTAACTTTCCTTGAAACGTTTGGTAGAATTCACTTGTGAAGCCATCTGGTCCTGGACTTTTGTTTGTTGAGAGTTTTTGGATTCCTAATTCAATTTCTTCACAGATTATTGGTCTGTTCAAATTTTCTATTTCTTCCTATTTTGGTTTTGGTAGTTTATGTTTCTAGGAATGCATCCGTTTCTTCCAAATTGCCTAATTTGCTGGCATGTAATTGCTCATAATATTCTCTTGTATGTGTTTTGGTGGTGTTGGTTATTATTTCTCCTCTTTCATTTGTGATTTTATTTATTTGGGTCCTTTTTCTTTTTGGTAAGCCTGGCTGGAGGTTTATCAATTTTATTGATTTTTTTTTTTTTTTCAAAGAACCAGCTCCTAGTTTCATTGATCTGTTTTATTGGGTTTGGGTTTTTTTAGTTTCTATATCATTTATTTCTGCTCTAATCTTTATTATTTCCTTCCTTCTGCTGGCTTTAGGCTTCTTTTGTTCTTTTTCTAGCCCTAAAGGGTGTAAAGTTAGGTTGTTTGAGGTTTTTCTTACTTCTTGAGGTAGGCCCGTGTTGCTATATACTTTCTCTTAGGACAGCTTTTGTTGCATCCCAAAGATTTTGGACTCTTGTGTTTGCATTTTTTCCATGTATTTTTTTTAAATTTCTTCTTTGATTTCCTGATTGACCCATTCATTGTTTAGTAGCCTGTTGTTTAACCTCCATGTATTTGTGGTCTTTACAAATTTTTTCTTGTGGTTGACTTCTAGTTTCATAGCACTTGGTCAGAAAGGGTGCATGGTATGATCTCAGTCTTTTTGTATTTGTTGAGGCCTGATTTGTGACCTATTATGTGTTCTACTCTGGAGAATGTCCCATGTGCACTTGATAAGAATGTATAGTCTGCTGTTTTGAGATGGAATGTTCTGAATATATGTTAAGTCCATCTGGTCCAGTGTGTCATTCAAAGCCATTGTTTGCTTATATAGTTTTTGCTTAGATGATCTGTCAGTTGATGTAAGTGGAATGTTAAAGTCCCCTGGTTTGTATTATTATCAATTAGTTCTTTTATGTTTGTTATTGTTTTACATATTTGGTTGCTGTCAGGTTGGGAACATAAATATTTACAATTACTATATTTTCTTGTTGGATTGTCCCTTTTATTGTGATATAGTGCCCTTCTTAGTCTTCTTGTTACAGTCATTGTTGTGAAGTGTAGTTTGTCTAAGTATTGCTACTCCAACTTTCTTTTAATATCCATTTGTATGGTAAATGTTTCTCCATCACCTCACTTTCAGTCTGCAGGTGTCTAGGTCTAAAATGGGTCTCTTGTCTGCAGCATATAGATGGGTTTTGGATTTTTAGTCCATTTACATTCAAATTAATGATAGATATATATTTAGTACTATCTTAATTTTTTTTTTTTTTTTTTTGGTCATTTCTGGAGATTTCTCTGATCCTTTGTCTTTGTCACTTTTGGTCTTTCCAGTCAAAGAACCCCATTAGTATTACTTGCAGGGCTGATTTAAATGGTCATGAACTCCTTTAGTTTTTGTTTGGGAAACTCCTTATCTCTCCTCCTATTCTGAATGATAGCCTTGCTGGATAGAGTATTTTTGGCTGTGGATTTTTCCCATTCAGCACGTTGAATATATGATGCCACTCTCTTCTGGCCTGTAAAGTTTCTGTTGTGAAATCTCCAGCTAGCCTTATTGGTCTTCCCTTATCAGTTAAGGACTTCTTTTATCTTGCTGCTTTTAAGATTTGTTCTTTATCAGTATATGTCTAGGTGTTGCCCTGCGTTTGTTGATTTTGATTGGGAGTTCTCTCTGCCTTCTGGATCTGGATGTCTGTTTCCTTTTCCAGATAAGGCAAGTATTCTATTATTTTTTGAAATAAATATTCTACTCTCTTTTCTCTCTCTCTCCTTCTTCTGGGACTCCTATAATATGAATGTTACTATGTTTGATGGAGTCACTGAGTTCCCGGAGTATATTCTCATGTTCCATAATTCTTTCTCTCTTTTGTTCAGCTTCATTATTTTCTGTTATTTTATCTTCTGCGTCACTTATTTGTGTTCCTGTGCTTCTTCTAGCCTGCTGTTCATTGTATTCTTCATCTCTGATGGATTCTTTTTTAACTCTTTAATCTCTGTGGTAAGGATCTCCCTGATGTCTTCTATTCTTTTCTCAAGCCCAGTGAATATCCTTATGATTATTGCTTTAAATTTTCCATCAGGCCTATTACTTATATCTGTTTCACTTATATCTCTGGCTGTAGCTTCATCTTGTTCTTTCATTTGGGATGAATTCCCAAAGTCCCATAGTTAGTGAAAATTATTCTAATGGGTGAAATTTTTAAAAAAAATGCAGTACTGATATTCCTTGATGTACGTATTATAACATTACACCCTGTTTTTCAGTGTATAGTCTTTGCTATGACTTCTGGCCAGATGTGGAATCATATCCGTGGGCCTCCATATGCTCATAAGAACCCACACAATGGACAAGTGGTAAGTGCATGTTCTAAACATCCATATTTTAAACTTTAATCCTGTTTAATTTTTAAATAATATTCACACACACGTGGGGCCCGAACTGAGGACTCTGAGATGGAGAGTCACATGCTTTTCTGACTGGGCCAGTCAGGTACCCCTTTCATCCTGTTTATCAGAAATCATGTGCAGTATTTAGTGAGAAAGGATTTTGTCTGTAAATCTAAAGTTTTGTTCTTTCTCTTCTGCTACTACCTCTACTGTATGCATACACACATGCACATATATATATGTATATTTTAGGGTGAGGACTGCTTTACTGTTTAAGAAAATTTGTGTACCTACCACATCAAATAGCCATTCATAACCTAGTTTTTCACCTTTACATATTGCTATGGCAATAATATGTAATGCCAAAAGAGGAAATAGGAACAGTTTATAGGCGGTGTCCCATAAATGGTAAATTTAGTTAAGGAGAGATTAATTAATTAAAACATCATTAAGAACCCTGGCAGTCATATTAGATTGCTAAGAAGTGTTTGTTACAAAATTGAAAGGGAAATTGATATGCAGTTAAATCAGTAGCAAAGTTCACATTAGTAACTGCTACTGAATTTATTTATTTTGTTGCTTTACTTCTTTAGGTTTTTTGTTTTTGTTTGGTGAATGGGATATATTGTAATAGATCAACTTTGGAAAAATAGATCAACTGTCTTTGAGGCTTTAACATTTATTAGGTTGGTGAAGATTAACTGTTTAAAAATGTGACCTTTTTTCTGTAACTCTTTCATTTGGAAAACATACAGATTTTGAGAGAATAATGTAATGACACCCCTCATGTACCTGTTACCAAACAATTACTAGCCAGTAACTAATACTTGTTCCATCTCTTCCTCCATTCAGTTCTCTTTACCTTCTGTCGGATTCTTCTGAAATAAGTGCTCAGTATCATTTCATTTCATACAGAAATACCTTCGTAGGAGTCCCTAAAAGATAAGGTCTTACCACAGTCACCTAGAATATTAAATTCTTAATTTGTTTTTTTGTAAATAAATTCCTAAAATTGTAATTCTGAATAAAATTTTCATATGGCAAAATGTTATAAATTTTCTGGAACTCTATAAATATAGATTACAACATAAGTTTGAAGATTGATTCTTCATTGCTTTTATAGTGCTTCAAATACCTTTAATATTAAAGCCAACAAGTTATTATTTCTTCTTCCTACATTGTGACTTTCTTTGAACTTCTTCGTGGAACTCTGTACATTGGGAAATATTTCACTTTATTCATTGCCCGTTCCCTGACTGCCCAGTCAGGTTTTAAGGACTAGTGGCTAATTGCCAGAGTTAGATAATGATCAGCTTGGTCTCAGATTTCTCCTGAAGTTGGCAATGATACGGAGTTAGACTGGATGATTAGCTGCCATAGTCATTTAGACTTGGGTTTTGCCACGTGTGTATATTTTTGAAATCTTTCACTACTTAGAGGGGTTATTGAATGTTTAAATATTCAAATTGAATTATTTTAAAGAAAAATAATTGGAAATAATTATCAAGCAAGTCTTTCCAACAGCCCGACTAGTAGGTGGTATCCTTTCCTCTCCTCCTCCCCGATACCCCCACTCTGTCTCTTTCCTGTTTTATTTTGCCTTCGTAGCACTTAATCATCTTCTAACATGCTATCAAATCTACTTATTTTGTATTTTTATTTCTCTGCTTTTTATCATGACATCAGTAAGACATAAAAAGTCCTGCTGTCAGGTCTTATCAGTTTTTGTCACTGATATGTTCCTATTTCATAGAGAAAGTCCTGATGAAAGATTGGATCACTATTATGTTCCTGCTACCTCAGAGAATATTCCTTAAGTTGAAAAGCATGAAGCATTGCTTTTTATTGTTTGGTTGTTAAAGTATATGGAAAATTAACCAACATTCTTATGAAATATGTTTACTTGTATAGGGGAAGAAAAAACAGTTTTTCTCTACTCTTCTGAGTGTTTGGCTAGGACCCCTATAACAAAATAAAGAAGTATAAGAGAAAAACTTATTAACACGTATACTTCCTGTACACATGGGAGAGACTCAGGGAAAAATTAGTAACACTCAGAGGTGTCTTAGAGTCCAGACTCAAATAACCATCTTCAGCTAAAGATAGAAAAAAAATATGTGCAAGGGAGGCCACTTACATGGAGGTGACCAGGAAAAGCAAGGTAATTAAAAGTAAGATTTATTATGCAGAAGTCAGTCACAGGTACCCCCCTCCACACATTTTTTGATAAGGGTCTAAAGTTGTTTGTAGGAATTTACCTTTGTCATTCCTGGTAGAAGGGGAGGAGGGACACCTTCGGAAACATGTGCTGCCTTTAGGCAGATTGGGGAGGCCAGAGAGCTTTTCTTGTATCTTCTTCTCAACTTCCTTCAGGCCAAAATAATCCTTACACGAAAGTGACATATTTTTCTTACTGTAATCTCTGTTATCTATTGCTTTTCTAAACCATCTAATCTCCTTACATGTAGTTTACTGGAGTAAGAAGCTCCTAAAGTTTGTGCCAGTAACAGTAACTGAGAATGGATGTGACCTATTGTTTACTGACTACATGTGAGGCAGTAGACTTCATAAGCTGAATATTTTAGGCTACCAGGTGAATATTCCTAAAATATAACTTATTATAATATGTATGGACCTGAGTTACCAGTGTACAATCCCAAGTACCTGTCCCATTTCCTGACCATTGTGATTTTGCTTTTCAACCTGTTAACTCTACTACTTTGCAGAGAAAGTGTTAGCCTGTTTGTACTGTTGTATGTTTCCTAAACTTTTTTTTTGCTGCTTCCATTCCTGGAATGTCCTCTGTATCTATGATTGTACCTCTCCTTCATATCTCACCTGATTTTGCCATCCTGCTGAGATGTGTTACTTCTTAATTACATTGGAAGTGCCCCCGACTTCCCTTTACATATTTATTAACATGTGGTTAGTCCACTTATCTATGCATTTTTTAGTATAATGATTCTTTAATGTTTCATATATCCCATTTTAGTCAAGTCCTTATACATATGGAGTTTCTTTGAAGCTATTTTCATCTCTACAACTTGCATTGAGCTGGTCCTCAGTAAATGTTTTATTAAATGATTGTAAGGACTCATACTAGAAGATTTTTGTTTCTAAAATTGGATTATCTTTTAATTTTCTCACTAGTCAGAAGAATAATAGGATTAACATGTCACTATTAATTAAGCATAAACCAGTTACTCACCTTAAAGTTCAGGTTAGAGATTTTATTTATTTAGAAAATTATCTTTTTCCACATTTTTATATTACTATTTTTCAGGTAGTGATTGGCATGGCCCTTAGGAAAAGGTACTCTGAGGCCCAGAGGAACACATTAGGAGAATTTTCTGTATTTTTAAATGGAAAAGCATTTCCTTCATACATACATCTTTTAACATATTTATCTTAAATTTCAGCAACTTAATCAAAAGTTAGAAATAATGAAATTTAAACCAAGGTATTTAAAAAGATGAATTTTGTTCCAAACTCTACCCTCTTGTATTTTATAAAAATATAAAGATTTTAGAAATTCAGGAGCCTCTTTTACAGCAACAATTGCATGAGTGTGCTCTTGGCCACAGAGATGTGGATACAGTTTTAAGTTGATATGAGATATTAACTGCTTAGCCGTATAGACAAAGCCTTTAATCTGCCTATTAAAGCACAGTGAAAAGGGCAGCAGAATGTTGCCTGTTAGTATATAGCTTTTTTCTTGTTTTGCATTTTGACATATTCCAACAAAATTTCTCTTCCTTCCTTTTTATATGCATAATGTCAACATACACTGAAACAGGAAATTATGGTTTAAGTTTTGCTTTAATGAATTGCTTTACATAATAATGTGTTTTCATATTACTGAAACATGGTTACTGGTACAGAACTTTAAATAATGATTGTTCATTAGAATGATAACAGCAGATGTTTTTCTTTATAATAGATGTGTTCAAATTTCAAGATATAACTTGAAAATTAGTACTATCCTTCTTTGGTAATTTCTTCATATTTTAACCTGTATTTCTAAAGAGAAATTACCAAATCTCTAAAGAGAATTTGTGTTTTTGAGAATAATTATCATGAGGCTATTTACCTCTTTCAGTGGTATGGAGTATCTTATGAATATATAAAGAAATTTTATAACTTGGCATTAATTCTTGATGACCAGTGTACATCAAGTGCATTAGGGTGGAACTAAGAGAGTACTTCTTACTGGTTTTCACATCTGTAACAATTTCCATTTACTCTTATTTGTAGGTAACTATTATACACAAAGATCAGCTGAGTTGTAATTTTTGTTGAGTTTTGCTAAATTAATTACATAAATGTTTTACTTCAACTCAGATGTTTTGAGGAATTCATTCATGAAGAATTTATTCAGTGTTATGTTAACGTGAACTAACTTTGTAAATACTTGAGGATTGCATTATGAAAGTCTGTGATTTACAGAATTATTTTTTTCCTTTTCTCTGAAGTTGTGATTTCTATATAGAATTCTGGGTGATTATTGGTTCTTTTGTCCCAATACTATATAACTAGATTGCCATTTTTCCTGTATAAGTTTAGAAAGAATTTAAGATCAAATTTTATATTTTTTAAGCATAAAAACCACATTAATTATAAAAAGGCTTACTTTTATTTTTTTCTTCACCCTGACCAATTTTCATTTCAGGCATTGATTTATTAGTATTATCACTTGATATTTTAAATTACACTTTAGGAAATTCAAATGTTTAAGAATAGTAAGACAATCTTGAAAGAGAAGTACAATGCTAAATGACTTTAGGTTACAGATTTCAAACCTTTTATTAATTGTGAAAGTATATTCTGTTAAATTGGTGTATTTGTCCTTCATGCATATGCACACAGTTATGGCAATAGTAATGCCAAAATGCAGTGTGGAACATTTAAAAATGTAGAATCTTAACAGTTGTCATATACCATAAATATAAATCCCATATGGATTATGG